AATCCAAAATGAATTAAACATCACATACATAATAAAAAGACTGGATATTAATTATTTTAAGTTAATCCGAAATGAATTAAACATCTACTTCAACATCACATATATAATAAAAAGACTGGATATTAATTATTTTAAGTTAATCCGAAATGAATTAAACATCTACTTCAACATCACATATATAATAAAAAGACTGGATATTAATTATTTTAAGTTAATCCGAAATGAATTAAACATCTACTTCAACATCACATATATAATAAAAAGACTGGATATTAATTATTTTAAGTTAATCCGAAATGAATTAAACATCTACTTCAACATCAAATAACACTTGCGATTGACAGTTCATGTGTTTAAAGAAATCCAGAGATAGCGAAGATCTTTGTAAGCTACTTCACTGCTGGTAATAATATTGAAAGAAGCAAAACTTTTACTTTACATCAAGGTTCATACCTCAAAAACGTTGAATTAAAAACATATAAATAAAGTACAATTAAGCACATACATTCAGAAAGGTTAAACAAAGACAGGAAACACGAAATTCACACTCAGACAAGTAAGAGTATCTGGTTACTTGATCAAGCTAGTCCTATGTTGATTCGTTGCAGAATAAATAATGGAAAAAAAAATTGATATTATAAAAGGCTACTATTATGTGTGTACTGTTTTTTAAAGTATCTTACATTAATTAATACTGCAATGTTGTGTAAAAAGGGGAGATGGGTGTGTGTTACAAATAAATCAACACATAATGTATATGGACTAGAATACTGTTTGGCGATGTATAAATAAAAGTAATCTCACACCAGACAATGAACAAAAAAGTATATTTAAGATGGCTGAAATGTGAAAGAGTTAGAGTGATTTTTCATATTTGAGTATCCTCAACTTAAACCTAGATATATCAGATCCAATATGTACTAAAATGTTTACATATAAATGGAAAAAAAAAAGAACAAGAGGAATGTTATATTGAGGCCACTATATGTAAGGTAAACAAAGGAAGAATTAGCCAATTTGAGGTTTATAGGCATTCATCATTGAAGAACCTAACATCCATGATTAAAAAAATTACAATTTTAGTTTTAAATTTGTTATTATAACAACTCAGATAGATAGAAAACACAGTCAGCTAGTTGTTAAGCTCACCTTTAGGACCTCGTACTCTGACTGTCAACTGACCAGCTCCAGCTCCTCTGGTATCACATATAAATCTACCCTGGTACAATGCTAGTACACCAGGTTCCACCCCTGGTCCATATACTTGCACCTTTGAAGCATCAGGAGGTCCAGCAATGCTCACAGAAAATGGGCTCCCTACAACAGACAAAAATCCATAATGTAAAGTTAAAAAAAAATGCTGCCTTTTTACCCTGTGTGTAATAATGGCTCACAATCTATTAAGTCTACAAATTCATTTTGTTTTCTCTGATGACTATACTTTGAAAGGAATGAAGAATTATTAAAATATTTCTTCAAAATGTTTTAAATAATTTTTCTTTCCTACTTGAAATGGTTTGAATGGATACCACACAAGTACTTAAAGATTTAATAACATATCTCTATTTTAAAGTTGAATAACTAAAGCACAAGTTTTGTTATAAGGTGTGAAAAAAGTATCGTAAGAATTTTCTGTTGCACCATAAAAGATGGATTAAAGTTCTGCCTCTTGAGGATTCAAGCCATTAACATTCCTGGTCTTTTGACTGGAATGTCAAAATGGATCATAAAATCCCCATTTAACCTCTGACCATAATAAACAAAACAACTGTTGACTAGTTAAACTAACTGTTGACTAGCTGGCTGACTAGTTAAACATGAAAAATTCTTCTTACCAGGCACATGTGAACCTCCATATTTGATGGTTAAGACATGACGTCCCCCTTCTTGAGGTCTGAGGTAAAGGCTAAATGTTCCATCTCTGTGGTCACACAGTTCACAATACGCTGCCTTGAACGGCCCCAGGCACTGTGCTGTCAGTTCTCCTATAAAAAATTACATTACATACAATTACATTACAAAAATATTAAGACTATTAACTACAAACACCTATTAATTTTAATACCCTGTATACAAAATAACATGTTTATGATACAGATGCATAGTTTGCATAAATTTCCTGCAAATTTGGAAAGATTTCTGAATTGTTCTTTCATGCTTTCTTTTTAACTATGACACACATTAAAAACGTTTAACAGATGCTATGGAAGACTGTGATATACATATTTTGCTGGCACAAAACTTATCTTTATACTTTTATGATTTTAATAAAACGAAATAAAAGGACTTTAATAATAATATTTTGTTTTATAAGCTGATTTTTATAGTGTTTCTGTCCACACAGTGCTTCCCATTACAGTTGCTTTCTGCCAACACAAACAATGTTACTCACGTTGAAAGTTCATTTACATTCCTAATTATGAACTCGTACACTACAGACGTACAAGATAGCTAGTCAAAAAAAAAACCCAATGTCACCTCTTGAGTTACACTTGCCTGACCAAATAGAGAGATTTCACTGTCATTCTTATAGTACAACCATAACCACTAAGTGTGTAACATGTTTTTTGCAGCAACATATTCTGAACCACGAATTCACGGTCTGGGTGTACTAATTACTAGGCCATGCCTCACCCACATGTGCTTTTTAATGGTTAAATCACAACAGACTGAATTCACGGTCTGGGGGTACTAATTACTAGGCCATGCCTCACTCACATGTGCTTTTTAATGGTTAAATCACAAGAGACTGAATTCACGGTCTGGGGGTACTAATTACTAGGCCATGCCTCACCCACATGTGCTTTTTAATGGTTAAATCACAACAGACTGAGTACATCATATTTTTTGCCATACTACATATTATTCCTGTGCAGTTTTTTTTACATAAAGGTACTTCAAGCAGATTAACAAAATTTTTTTTTTTTGTTTTGAATGTTAGCACAAAGCTACACGAAATAGTGGGCCTTGACTTCTACTTGTATAATACAACAATGACCCCCAAGTGTGGAGAGTGAACATGTGGCAACAGAACAAGAAACACTGACCCTCAGGTTCACAGTCCGACAGACTAAAACAATGGGCCACACCTTGCCCATTGAGAATCATAATTTAAAAAGTATATTTAGATAATTAATGAATAATAAGTTTGATTTATTTTTAACAAAACACACTTTTTTAGTTCAAGCTGCCCTGTTCAGGTTCAGTGGTAAACTTGAGGGCTTATAACACTAAAATTCAGGTTTGATCCTCATTGTGATAACAGCTCTCTACTTAAACAAAACAAATAAACAAAATTACAAGCTATAGGTATGAAAGGCCTGCAAGATAATACCAATACAAATGACTGATAATGATCAAGTATCAAAATGAAATTTTGTTGTACGATGGGACAATGCAGAAGAAAGGAATCTGAGTTCGTTCATCGTTTTAAATCTAATCACATTTCACTTGTATATTGTTCACTTTTTCTATTCATTTAGCTGTTTTTGTAAATTTACATTTTGATATGAAACAGAGATAACCCATAAAAAATGGAAAAATTAAATAAACTGAACAGAAATCTGCATGCAAAAATTATTCTGTTTAATTTTTATAGATCTTACTGATATAAGTTTCTTTTTTATAGTTGTTTCTACTGTAAATTTCAAATATCATAAAATCGCACTTACATATCCAAATGCATAGTTATTATAGGTAATGTCAGAAGTTTCATGTAATATGATAAACATTTGAAAATTAAACTTAATTCAGAAGATAAACCAAAGCCTTTCCACACACACACATGCATGTTTTTCAAAATTTTATGTAATCATTATAATAGCTTTCTGATTAATCATCGTTATTAATTTTTTTCTATTAGATGTTATATTTACATCATTAAACTCAAAATAAGTATTGATATTAGTGAGTCAAAGTTCTTTTAATGATGCTTAATTTGACATTCTAGAAAGTTTTAGCACATGCACTAAACACTAAATTTCTTAAAAAGTTCACCTAATTTACCTGGTCCTGCTTTACGAGCATCAATAAAGGCTTTAATCTCCTTGCCGACTGTGCCTTCTCTCAGTCCATCTCCTGAACAGATAACTTTTGTATTATCACAACTTGCAGCTACAGCTACTTTGAATGGACAGCCTTTGATCTGTCTGCCTGACCAGGTAATATCGAGCAGGTAAGTACCTGTTTAAGAGTTGTGTAATGATACTTTTATCCGATCAGCAAGATGTGTAAACCAAGGTTTACTAGGTCATATATGCAGGTTTTATTTGAAACCATTGCATTTGTTTAAAAACAACAACAACCATACAAAAGAAACTACATAAAATGATTCTTAAATTAACTTTAAAAAAAATTGAGTGTTTTAGAAATTTGCTCTTTTTTTGTTTTTGTTAATGACATCCAAACATTTATTTGAGATCTTTGGAAAATATTTTTAGAGAATAATTTTGATATAGCTTTAAACATAATCAATCTTTCGATTCTTAATATTAAACTGCTAAAATCATGTCAAAGTATCCTGTCACCTCTACTGACATCTGAAATTGTTTTAAATATATCTATAAACCTGTAATTGATCTATTTTCCACGAGATTTAATTTTTTTAACATAGAAATTGAAACTGATTTTCTTCGATAGACAAAAAAAGGAATACATTACTTGGCACTGTAAGTTAATATAAACTTATATGTGTGGAGGAATAAAACATCACTACAGTCAATTTCTGTTTAAGAGAAAAAAAGCAATCTTGCATTGTCCCACCTGGAACTGTAGGTGTGTACACTGCCTTGTAGGCATTATTTCCTTGAGGTAATAGTCTTACTTGAATGTCAGCTTTGACCCCACTCAACTTGACCTCCGGTGACCCTGGTGATAAAAGAATAACATAAAATAAAACTCTTAAATGAAGAATATTGTTTCGGAGAAAGTTTAGACACCTAGAGAAGACTAACTGATTGGAGACTTTTGTGGACTGCAAATACTGTAGAAGGATTTTTTTTTATGACATTTTTGAGCTTCAGGAAAAGATTTTGTATGAGAATTACAGAACAATAATTCTATGCAAACTTTAATATGATACTCAAGCCTAAAAAAATAAAAATTTTCACAATAATATAAATCTTATAACATATCAAACACAAAACTTTGTATAAAGGAAAAAAAAAGTATTGCAAGAATTTAAAATATAAGGTTCTTTAAATAAGTATGATATGAAAACAAAAACTGAATTAACAAAATATAAAAAGGATTATTCCAATTTACTATGTAAAATAAGTTTGAAATCTCAACTAATAGGAATGAAAGACTACAAACATATGTATAAACTTATAGATACCTGGGCCAGCTTCCAAGCCATCTATACAAAACTGAGCTTCTTCCCCAACCTTGCCACCTTTAAGTCCGTGGCCACGTAAGATTACTCGTGTGTGATCTAGAACTGGCTGGCCTGCCTTTGCAAAGGCAAGATATGGCGACTTAGGAAGAGGGATGTCAGCATAATAGAGATATAAATAGTATTGTCCTATAAACAAAAACAAGTGTTAACATACTGTAACAGGTTCCTACAAATACAAACACATGGTTTATAAAGTAAGCTCGGTCAGGCTTCCACAAACATAAAAACATTTTATATATATATATAAAATAAGCTTTAGTCGACAAACATGTGGTAAGTAAAACAACCTTCAGCTTGTTTCTACAAACACAAACATGTGGTAAGTAAAACAACCTTTAGCTTGTTTCAACAAACAGAAACATATGGTAAGTAAAACAACCTTTAGCTTGTTTCTACAAACTGAAACATGTGATATATAAAACAACCTGTAGCTTGTTTCTACAAACACAAACATATGGTAAGTAAAACAATCTTTAGCTTGTTTCTACAAACACAAACACATAATACATAGAACAAGCTATGTTAGATTTTTATACACACAAACATATGGTATATAAAATATGCTGTAGCAGGCTAGATCTCCACTAACACATATAATCTTCTATTCTACATAGTAGTGTCCTACCCTACATAGTAATGTTCTATTCTACATAGTAGTGTTCTATTCTACATAATTAGTGTTCTATTCTACATATTAGTGTTCTATTCTACATATTAGTGTTCTATTCTACATATTAGTGTTCTATTCTACATAGTAATGTTCTATTCTACATAGTAGTGTTCTATTCTACATAGTAGTGTTCTATTCTACATAGTAGTGTTCTATTCTACATAGTATGTTCTATTCTACATATTAGTGTCCTATTCTACATAGTAATGTTCTATTCTACATATTAGTGTTCTATTCTACATATTAGTGTTCTATTCTACATATTAGTGTTCTATTCCACATATTAATGTCCTATTCTACATAGTAGTGTTCTATTCTACATATTACTGTTCTATTCTACATAGTAGTGTCCTATTCTACATAGTAGTGTTCTATTCTACATATTAATGTTCTATTCCACATAGTAATATCCTATTCTACATATTAATGTCCTATTCTACATAGTAGTATTCTATTCTACATATTAGTGTCCTATTCTACATAGTAATGTTCTATTCTACATAGTAGTGTTCTATTCTACATATTTGTTCTATTCTACATATTAGTGTTCTATTCTACATGGTAATGTCCTATTCCACATAGTAATGTTCTATTCTACATAGTAATGTCCTATTCTTCATAGTAATGTCCTATTCTACATATTAGTGTTCTATTCTATATGGTAATGTCCTATTCTTCATAGTAATGTCCTATTCTACATATTTGTTCTATTCTACATATTAGTGTTCTATTCTACATAATAGTGTCCTATTCTATATAGTAGTGTTCTATTCTATGGGTAATATACACATACCTGGAACGGGTGGTGTAAAATGTAACATATAACGATGGTTATTAATTTGTTTTACTTGATGTTCTACCATGCATTCTTGCCCAAGAAGTTCAACTTTCAATATGCCTGTTAAAATGGAAAAACTTAAACATCCATCTCATTTGTAGGTGAACAAATTTTACTTACTATGATTTATAGTAAAAAAATTATCTGGAAACTTCTGCTAAATTTAAGCAAAAACGAATAATTTACAAGTCTATGTAAACAACACATTAAACAGTGTGAAATCATTTCATAAAGTGAATGCTAGTTATCATAAAATATCTGCACAGACGTGCTAAAAATATGCACCCCAACAAAAAAACAAACTTACACAGCCTCAATGTTTTAACAATTTGATGTCATTAGAATAAAATCTATTTTCCAAGACTTGCTTGTTTGTAGTTCAGCACACAGTTATGCAATGGGCTATCTGTGTTTTGCTCACTATGAGTATCAAAACTCAGTTTTAGCATTGTAAGCCTTCAGATTTACTGCTGAGGGGGAGGGGGTCATTGTTTGAAGATAAAATAGTATTAAACCACAAATAATGCTTCAGTACTAGATAATGCACTATTTAAAAAAAAAGTTACATTTCAATTTTAACCATTTTTGTTAGTACAAATTAATAACAGTGAACAGAAGTTTATGAAAGTTATACTATTTTTATGGAAAATTATCTGACACAAGGTTAAACAGAAAAATTAATAATGCTATATCTGAATTGTGTTACTTCAGAAATTTCTAAATCCTTTTAGACAAAGATGAAATTTTATCCCTTAGAAATAAAATAAAAACATTCCATTAGTTTTATTTTGTTATTTCACAAAAATTGCACAATACATATAATGTGAAATAGGTTTGTAATTGATTATGTGACTGGATAAATAGAACAGTATTGACTATTACAATGTAAATATCGTAAATAATATTCAACGTTAAACTGGTACACAAGTAAAAACATTTTATTTAGGCCTATCTATGGCCTTCAAAAAGTTGACGACTCTACATGTTTCGATGTTACAACATTGTAACATCGAAACA